TGGCAATAGTTGCTTTTACAATTTTTTTTCTTTGAAACTGGAAAAACTTATTTTACTAGCAATAAATGGTCAAAGTTTTTGAAAAAAAACCGTATTATAATTTTCATATACTGCCCTACTTATACTTGTTGGGTATGAAATTACCAGTAGCAATGAAATAAAGTTTTCCAATGAAATTAATTAACTATACAATCCTATTCAAGCTTTTTTGTAAAAAAAATAAAAATGTATGAATTGCCGAGCATGTGTGTTGGTATGGCATGCGAATTGGTATAGAAACTGATACGTCGTAATAGACGAAGTTTCATTTAGCAAAAAAATAAATTTTAAAAAAAAATGCACCTCCCAACTTAAGACACCAATCAAAAACGCAGAGCACCAAGTGCCCATACTTATAATCTTCGTAAAAACGTATACATATATTATGCACTTACGCGCAGGTTAGAAATAACTTTTCCGAGAGAGAAGAAACTGCATATACATACACAGAAACGAGAAAATGACGTGCCACGCGCGCAGCTTCTTTTCTTATTTCGCGATCGAACCGATCGCGCTTACATGTATTTGGTCCGCGCCCAGTTTTTTGTGTGTATTTTTTTTTTTACGGTGTTGCTCATTTTTTTTTCTTTCAATTTTAATATTTTTCATTGACTCCTTCAAGTGAATGTGACGAGGAAAAAAAGTGCCATGGATAGACGCTATAGTGTGTATTAATAAGCCTCGAGCGTATACCTTGAAAATCAGTGGGTAGGTATGTTTGTGTGTGTGTGTTTTTTTTTCCTTTCGATTGAAAGCCAGAAAACGAGCAAACCGAAGAAACGACACCCGCGCCTTCTCGAACATTCCTACCGAACGTTATTTTTATCTTTGCCCCGCGCGCTAGAGTTTTACCGGAGTCGCGACGCTTTTGCCTTCGCGATTTAGTTTGGAAAAAAAAAATTGCTTACCCAAAGGGTTTTTTTGGGTTTGGATGGGAAAGAAGGGTGCAGTGTTTTTATCATTTGTATTCATGCAGCTTCGGACGCGGCTAACGTGTCTCGCAACGTTTCTAGTGCTCAGCCGAGAAGGATGAAATTTTTATTTTACACGTTTTTATGATCCACTTGGCTTTTGGTTTTTATGCAACATAATAATAAAAAAAAAAAAAAAAACGTTGCAAAGTAGAGAAACAAACATTTTGTGTACCAAAAAATCCTCGACAAAGAGTAAAGAAAGCCGAGACCCAAAATCAACAGAAGAAGGAGCGACCGGTGCCATAAAATATTGTTTTCGTGCGCGATTCGCTGAAAGGAAAGAAAAAGGTTGACGTATGCCCACGCGTTTTTGTATCGAAGGAGTGTGGAACAAAAAAACGCTCGCCCATATCTTTCGTTTCGCCGAATTATAGTATAGGAGAAAACGGTTAATTCTTTTTTTTTTTTTTTTAACAAACTTTATTTTGCAAGCACTTTGTGTCTCGCTTTGTGTTCACCTGATACAGAAAAAAAAAAAAAAAAATGAATTTTTTCTAGCGTGTATTTGGCAGCTATTAAGTCGTAGTAGTTAAATGGACGAAAATTAACCATTTTTAATCAAACGTCTGGGGAAATCATTACAAAGGTTATTCATTTTTTTTTTTTTAATTCCATTCCGTGGAACAATATCTATCCATTTACTTCGTTATTTGCGATGTCCAATGGAGCGCTCCAACGTGTAATTAGGTGCAAATCGAAAAAGTGATTCACCGAAAAAATTATTACATATCAGCGCCATACACAAGGAAAACACGAAAACTGGCTACCGTATAAAGACACATCATTTTTTTTTATTCAAACAAACGTGAAAAAAAAAAAAAAAGAGAGTGACTACAACGCGCTTTGTTTGCGCATACCTGCGGAATTACGAAAGTCGAGCCGTACGCAAATATTTGAATGTCGCCTCTAAAAAATGTTATCAACTCGATGATATTAAGTTGGAAAAATCCAAGCATGAGTCACCCCGAAATTTTGAGCATCGACAAGCGAGCGTGTGAAAGATCCAAAATAAAATCGGTAAACGAAAACCGGCACGTGCAGTGCTGCGGGTTTGTTTACATGCCGGATTGACGATGAAAATCAAATAGAAAAAAAAACAAACATGTGTATTGTGTACACACTTTAATTACCAATCGAGTGCACGAAGAAAAAAAAAAGTGGCTAAACAGATGGTAGAGGGAAAAAAGTGAATCGTCGGGTAGACAGGTACAATATTCAGCGCTCGCGCGGAAAGCCGCGGTCACTGCTATAAATAACGTATACTCACCTAAATGAATACACATATACACACACGGAGGAGACATCAGTTCGAGAGACCGCGACACTTGTATTTTTTTTTTTTTTTCTTCCTCTCGGATTTTACAAAACATATTACAATTATCTTTTTCCCACTCTGTACCTTCTTGGGTACACATGATAACTATTTAAGACCAACTTTCAATCTGAAGCTCTCGTGTGGTGCGTATGGATATTTCAAATTATAATCCATACACCACAGACAAGTCACCAACTTGCGGTGGATGGATGTTGCTCGTAGATGGTCTTTTTAAATTTCGACCTAAAAGGCAGTGGTGTAACCTTGTACGGCTCGCGTGTGCACCATAAATCGCATTGTAAGTGCAACTTTTTGGCACAATGTATATATTTTAAGACGCTCGGAGAGCGCCCCGGCAGTGACCTTCGCTTGGCTGCACCGTGTTTTTTTTGTTTTTGTTTTTTTTATACCGCGACAATAATAGGGCGCAGTCGACCTTGACCCAGTATTGTAAGGAATTGCACGTGTAGTACCCCCCCCCTCCTTTTTTTTTGTTTGTTGTACGTACCATCGAAGCAGTTTTTTAACCAAGTGCGTGGGATGAAGGAAAACTTGTTTTGAATCGCACAAATGACATTAAAAAAGAACAAAACAAAACAAAAAAAGTAACCATTTCGGTGCGCCAATCCAAGTGAACGTGGCAGAGAGAGGGAAAAAAAAAACACTTCGCACGAGTTTGCCAAATCATCGGACTAATTTTAAAAAATTCTCTCGCATGCGAGTAAAAAAAGTGTTAATAACTCTACCGATTTTTTTTTTTTTTTTTTTTTCTTTGCTCGTTGCGTTTTTGTACGAAAAAACCTTTGACAGTAACATGTATACCGTCGTCGTTAGCGCCCACACCGGAAATTCCAAAAACCAAGCTCACACATATGGATGTGTTAGGCCTCGTAACTAATGCTTTTTTTTTTTTATATGGCGACTACGTCACGCTCACAACACCAACGCCGTCTTTATAATATTACACCCACCCACGCGAATGACGCGCGCGCGAGGATGATGATGAGGTCGACGCGACGACGATCTTTTTTTTTTTTTTTTTTTTTTTCCATCTGTATGTGCGATGCGATGGCGGTCCACGTAAAAGGTAACGCGCGCCGAGAACGATTTTTTTCCCGAACCTTATAGACAAACACATCTGTAGGTTCGCGCAGGAAAAAAAAAATATAAACAACGCGCACTGGACTTCCGTGTATTGTAGGGTACGGCAACAATGACTTTGCCGAACATGTATATTATGCGGAAGAGCTTACGCAAGAACAAAAAAAACAAAAAAAAAGAATCCTAATAAAAGCCGAGTAGGAGTGTCAATTAAAATTACGCACTTTAATGTAAATATGGGAGCTCGAGAAAAAGAAAAAAAAATGTTTTAGCTTCGAGTCGCTAATCGATTTCGGAGGCTGTACCGATGTTGGCTTCGGGTGTGTGTGTAACCTGTACATGTATGTACCTTGAATTATTTAGTGCACCGCAGTTCTCTTCCTGTTTGCATAATACAATAATTTATGCGCGTAATACCGGTAAATTGGTGAAAAGATGCAAGAAGATCGGTATCGCGATTCTATTTTTTTTTTTTTTTTTTGTACGGAAAATTGTAAAATGCGTTAGGGGGGAAAAGGATGTATGAAAGAGTTGCAATACCATTACTCTTTTTTTTTTTTTTATATTTCTTCACGTGAGTCAGTTGGAGAGAAAAATGTATGCGGCGTCGGTCTTTTATGGAGATTGAAAAGCTATACGTACGAGTGTAAACCGGTCGACAGTGACTATATGATGACGATTTCTTTTGCTTTTCCCTTCTTTTTTTTCGGTTTTTTGTTGCTAATAGCAGAGCGACTCTCGCGCGAAGGAGTTACACGGTAAGAGGTTGGAGGAGCTTCGTTTGTCCGTTTTGTTGAAAATGTTGGTATAGCGGTTTTTTTCGAGGTTTTTTTTATTTTTATTCGATCATATTGGTCGAAATGTTAGTGCACAGCGTTGAGAGAGAAAAAAAAAGTTTCCAAGTAAACATTTACTAAACTAGTACAAAGTGTAAATATTTTCTCTTCAAATAAGGATATTTTTTTTTTACAGTAAGAACAGTGCCTTTTTTTATCTCAGTTTATGTAAAGATCTGCTTGGTATACTATTCTAGTAAATATTTTTTTGATTCTAAAGAATTTTTTTCGCTTATAACAAAAAAAAAACAAACCTTGAATTACCGAGGGTTAGATATGCAGCTTTGCAATGGTAGTTACTACCAGTGATTGATGTCAATGATTCAATGTTGGTCGAGCTTTTTTTTTACAATTTTTCAATAATTTGTGGTAAATTTAATTAATTGAGTATTAGTTCAACCACCCGATAGTAAACTTTATTTGCTTAAAACATTATTGTTAAGTATAGCGACGGAGGAAAACAGGTTTTCAGCACAAAATAGCATATCGTAGGTCCACTGAATTTGATCCGATCAATCATATAAGATCAATTTTTTACTAAGAACAAAGCAAGGAGAGCAAAAAAGTTGCCAATTATATATATACTACTAACTTTTTTTTCTTTGTGAGAATCAACTTGACTCGCACTGTTTCGATATCTTAGCCCCAAGTACTATACTTATGATCCAAACCCCACAACAATCTGTGGTAACTAAAAAAAAAAAAACGATAATTTTTTTTAAATTCATTTTCCAGGGCTTTCCGTTCGACGACGAAGGTTTCGGCCGCCGAGGTGACATCCGCTCCCACCTGGACAACCTAGCCGCCCGCCACCCGGAGTTTGCCGACCACCTTCTGGGCCCACCCTGGGCCGACGTGCCCTTCGGAGGCGGCGGCTCCCTCCACCGCAACCGCAACCGGCGCGCGTCCGCCGCCAACAACCACCAGCAACCCGACGAGGTACATACGACTCTCTTCATATGTGTGCCAAAATGTAGATTTGTTTTGAATAAAAAACCTAAAAAAATATCTTGCATCGAATCGCAGGACGCGCGCTCTCACACGAGCGGGGGCAGCGGAGCTAGTTCCCACGGCAGCGAGCCCGAGAACGTTGCCGAACACAAGCCCAAAAATCCCCCGGGGCTGCGTACCAACCATACCCTCGACATCGGCCAGCACCAGCACAACATGGAAAATCCCCAGCAGCAACAGCGCAACGTGAGATCGATGTCCGCGCCCCCGGAGAACCGCAACAACCAAAACGAGCACCCGAGATTCGTCTCGAGGGTCGACATCACGCCACAGGTTGGTGCTGTTGAACTTAAGACTTATTTCAAGAATCGAATCTGTTCAACAGTCCAAATGTCTAATGGTATCTGTTCGTGCGCAGGGTTCACCGCAGCAGCAGCAGCAGCAGGCGAACCATCAGTCGCCGCAGCAGTCGCCCCAGCCGCAGAACCGCGAAAAATCGCCGGCGCCTCAGCAGCAGAAGCCTCAGGCGCAGCAGTCACAGCCGAGTCACGGTACAGTGAGGCACATACCGATTTTCGTGGAAGGCCGGGACGAGCCGGTGATCACCAGGAACAAGGATCGCCGAGTCCCAGAGGCCCCGGCGCCGGTCGCCGACGAGCCGGACTTTCCGCGGCGCCAACAGTCGCCGCCCCACTTCCAGAGGCCCTCGCACTTCACCAAGCAAGTGCCTTCCAGCTGGACGCACTTCCAGGATCCCTTCTTCGAGCACTCGAGCAGCCCGTGGCCACCGAGACACCCGGCCCGGGACTCGCCCTTCGGCTCGTTCAGGCACACCGACAAGCAGCCCAGACACACGCAACAGTTCCAAGAGCCCCAGCACCAAACGAGGCGACAGGCACCACAACAACATCAACAGCAGCATCACACGCCAGCACAGAGCGAGCCACAGTCCGAGCCGCAACCTCCCAAGCCCAAGACACAGATTCAGCCGAAAGACCCACTTGGTGAGTTAGCACTTGGTTGCAAAGAGACGAGTATTGTTGTTGATTGTGATGGAGGTATTGATAAACTTTCATCCAACAGAGAAGGTTGCGTTGGTGCAACAGGAGGTGGACGCGCTGACTGAACAAGTTAGGCTTTACACGGGCAACTCGCGAACGGACAAGCAGTACATGTATCTGGACGAGATGTTGACGCGCGAGTTGATAAAGCTCGACGACATTGAGACCGAGGGCAAGGAGAACGTGAGGCAGGCGCGGAAACAGGCCATTAAGAGCATACAGGAGTCGATTAGTTTGCTCGAGTCGAAGGCCCCGTTGCCAGGACAGCAGCAAGAGTCTCAGGTCGTGGGGAATGCCGTTGACGAGCCCATGGAGAGCGATCCGAGCCAAGATGGCAAACCTGCCGAGTCCATGGACACTTCTGAGGTGAGTCATGACTGTTTCCGATACTAAAGGAATTTTATTTTATTGGGAGGAGGATTATTTTGAGTTGACAGGAAGCGCTGATGATTTTTTTTAAATTATTTAAAGGTTGCGTCCACCTAAAAATGGTTTTAATAGTGACCACTGTTTGGCAGACTAGTTAGTAAAAAATTTACGTTACAATAATAATGTTGCACGTTGTCATGGTGTAATAAATCTATATATACGTACATGTACCTTTCATTTTATGTAACCCTCGTTACGCACATAGACACATCCACATTATTATGTTTTTATCTTGCCTGTTTACAAATTAAATAATCGTTATTTTCGTTTTTCTTTCATTATAAAAATTATTGTTTACGCAAACGTCATGTGTATTTAATTTCATTAAAAAAAAAAAATATCGATATCTCTCGCTTTTTCACGCATTCTTATCGTTTAGAAACTATCGTAGATTGTTTATTAATATGCTCGAAAAAACCAAAACGATGATTTAGATGCATGAAATTATTTTTATAAAACAAAGCTTGTACATTGCAGCCGCCAGCGACAGAGGAACAAAAAGCGATTCCGCTGCCAGCGCCTACCTCACCGACCAAGGCTACAGCGCCGGAAGAAGCGAAACCTCCCGAGGAGCCAGCCTCCAAAATAACCGAGCAAAAGCCAGAACTAGAACAGCCAGTGGAAAGCAATACTCAAACTAATGAAGCTCCAAGCGCGCCAGTTCAACCTGAACCGGCTGCTACGGTACCTGCAGAAGCTAGCCCTCAGGAACCGCCTCAGAAGGTAGAAGAAGTCAAGACCAGCGAAGAGCCTATGGAGAGCAACAGTGTTCCTTGCTCTCAGGCAGAGCAGCAACAACCGGACGTAGAGATGAGGCAGCCTTCGCCTGCAAAAGAAGTGCAGACTAGCGTGGAACCTGAAAAGGCTAGCGAGGCTCCGGCAGTGCCTGTCCAGGAGGAGGAAAAGGTCGCCGAATCTGAGGAACAAAAAAATCATCCAAAGTCAAAGACCGACGTTACCACAACTACCGTTTCTACCACTGAGAAGCCTAAGAAGGAGCCGCCACCGGTGCCTGCCAAGGCAGGAAAGTCACCTAAGAAAGCAAAGAAGACCCCGAAGAAACAGCCACAGCCCGAGCCTGTTTCCCAGACTGCAATACCCATGCCAGCTCCTGGACAGTAAGGTTCAAGAGAACAAAGACTAGCCCTTAGACGTTTTTTGTTGATTCGTAATCGTACCGAGGACTGAGAAAATCGGGAAGCTTTGCTGTTATCAATATTTTTTGTTTGTTTAATACCCATCGACACTGCATGATCATCATCAGTCCAACCATTAGGTTTTTTTTTCACCTTGTGAACTGAATAAATACGCACGGGATTGAGTAAAAAAAGCTGCGCTAGTCGTGGTTTAAAGTGCCGATGGAGTCGAAAAGCCTCTCGAGATTGAAATAAAAAAAAAAGATAATAAAAACAATATATGGACTGTGAATGAGTGAGTCTATTAAAAAAAAAAATTTGCTTCCTTTGCATTATGTACGTAGGTGCCATGAGATAATTTTTGTTTCGTTCTATTTCTTGGTGCGAAGATAGGCACGGTCTTACGGTTCAAAGGAAGCTTTTGTAGATACTTTTAATAAGAAAAGAGAAGAAAAAACTAAGTGGACTTTGTAGACCTGTAGAGATTGGTTGTTCTTTTTTTTATAAATAAATATTTATACAAATATACATGTATGTAATTGTGAACGTCTGAGAGACGCAAGCCTCGAAGAGAAGAAACATCGAACCATAAATTCGTATCTCCGTATAAGCGCTGTTTGGCTTGCATAAACTTAAAATCTTGAAGCACCATGTTTTTCCGTTTCTTTTGTCTTATCTTTTTTTCAAATTTCTGTAGGAGAAAGCGTTAGATAGCGCTGTACTCAAGCGAGAAATATAGATTACGACTGTCTTCTCAGCGAAATTGTAGCCTCGAATGTTTGATTTTCTGTATTTCTTTTAAAAGTGAGCGAAAAATGATTTTCACATAACAAGAATCCTTTATTTTAATTTATTTCATCCGTTCGAAATATACTTTGGCGATGCGGTTGCTTCGAGAGTGTGTTGAGAAGTTGAACGCATTTTAGCACATTATTTAAAAAAATTTGTCATTACGTGACCTTAGGCTATGTGTTCGAGGAAATATTTAGGATCTAAGCATTAAGTATTTGATGAAGAGATAAAAATTGAAAGCGAATAAAAACACTTGTATTTAAAAAGATTTGCATTTTATTATTGATAACAATCTCCCACCTTTTTTTTATTCCTTAAAAAATATAATTTATAAATTCCTCGCTTTGTTGGCTATTTGTAAAATCGCGCCTGCCGCCATGTGCCAAATGGCGTGACCAATCGTAGCGACCGTACATGCTGCCGCCGAACGCCGACTTGTGGAAATATTCTTTTTCTCACAAGAGAAACTCCTAAGTGGCATTAAACACGTAAGTTCCCTTCTATTTTTAAAAGTTTTTCATAGTATTATTGATACTTTTTGACAAAGTTTGATTTCAATTGAAGCACAAAGCCGTACTTTATTGTTAAATGTAGTTAGTTTTTTCACTAATAAGTTTTTACATTAAATTCAGACTCCAAAAGTTGTGCCGAGTGACACGTGCTAGATAACCTACAAAAATACATCTTGTATTATGTTGACATCCATCGTATGCTTTTTCAACTAAGAAGTCTGATCAATTTCTTTTCAATATTAAATATCATTATACGTTGATTATTTAGTCAATAACATGCTTAGCTAATCGACATACAAAATTGTTGAATATTTTCAATGTGTAACGTTTGAAGGTTATATCGGCAGTGCAAATACTAAATTCAATTATTTAAATTTGCCATAAATTAAAAAATTATTTTCATTTATAAGGTTGACTCGTAAGTAAATCACAACGTAACAATGTCAGGAGGATACGACCCACTAGCTCTCAGAGAAGATGACGTTACAAAGATGTTGGCTGCATCCACGCACATTGGAGCAGAAAATGTTAATTTCCAGATGGAACAGTACGTCTACAAACGTCGTGCAGGAGGTAATGTATATTATTTTGCTTTATCTCATTTAAAAGTACTGAATTGCGATTTCAACTTCCATTTTTAAGGCTGTAACATCATTAACCTGAGGCGCACCTGGGAGAAGCTTCTCCTTGCTGCTCGTGCTATTGTGGCCATTGAGCACCCAAGTGAAGTCTTTGTCATCAGTTGCCGTCCCTTCGGACAGAGGGCTGTCCTTAAATTTGCCTCTCACACCGGAGCAACCCCCATTGCCGGACGTTTCACTCCTGGTGCTTTCACTAATCAGATCCAGGTATTTTCTTATTTTGTTAACAATTCCAAGGTATATCTTTATTTGTAACGCATGGTATGCACTCTTAAAACGTGATGACAAAATTTGGTACAGAAATAACATCTGTTGATCTTAATGGCTTAATCTTTGCTGAAATCCAACGATTCTATAAATTATATGGTTGACTGTTGTCCAAGCAAGTGATACAAAGTGAAAATCCATTATTTCAGGCTGCATTCAGGGAACCAAGACTGCTCATAGTCACAGATCCAGCGACCGATCACCAGCCCATCACCGAGGCCAGCTACGTCAACATCCCAGTCATTGCCTTGTGCAACACAGACTCGCCCGTGCGTTTCATTGACATTGCCATCCCATGCAATACCAAGAATTCTCACAGCATTGGTCTCATGTGGTGGCTTCTCGCTCGCGAGGTCTTGCGCCTCCGTGGTTCCATCCCTCGGGATAAGTGGGACGTTGTTGTCGATCTGTTCTTCTATAGAGATCCCGAAGAGGTAGGCTAAAGTTGATTGTTTCCTACATTTTTAAAAAAGGTTTTTTTTACTTAACAATACTCGTGATAGGTGTGCATTGCATAAAGAAAACTGGTATTTTTTCAAAGTTGAATATTTGACAAATTTTTAGTTGTTTTTTGCGAGTACTCTAGAAATAAAACATGATGTTAAACTTACATGTCCAGAATCAAACCTGTTGGTACATAATGGCTTAATCTTTGCTGAAAAATTGTTTAGGTATTGAAAATCTTTGCCCTTCATTGCCAATCGAAATTAATTGAATAATTTTTAATTTCCAGGCCGAAAAAGAGGAGCAAATGGCTAAGGAGCAAACGCCAGCTACCAAGGAGTTCGCACCGATTGCCGATGCTGGTCTGTCCGCTTCAGACTGGCCCGTTGAGGTTGTCGACCCCAACGCGCCACCCACCGAAGTTTGGGCCGATGATGTTCCCGTCGCTGCGGCTTCCGTTGCTCCTGTTGCATCAGTTGCCGCTGCTGCTGCTCCAGCTCCCTTCACCGCTAGCACCGACTGGGCCGCTCCCGTAAGTTTTTTTCACATGGAATACTCTATTGGTAGATCACACCAGTACTTTTATTTATATAGTCAATATTGATGTTAATGTTTTCTTTGTAGGTTCAAGATGAATGGGCTGCAGCACCTGCGCCAGCAGAGACCATGACGCAAGGCCAAAGCTGGGGTGGCGCCAGCAGTAACTGGTCGTAAATCTTTGGGTTTCATATTGTTAACCCAAAATGTTCTGACCAAGCTTTATATTCGAGATCTTCAATAAAGCTGACTTTTTAATAACGACACACCGATTTATTTGTTCCCTCAGTCTTTAGTGTTACAAAATTAGTCTTTTTTTTCTAAGTTACTTATTACACAATTACAGCATTTATGTACATTTGGTACTTAAAATAAATTCTTCTTATGAATAGGACACTTATAATAACTTCACACTTTATCTAAATTGTTAATGTACATCTTCCCATGAACTTTAAATCTGTAGACACAGGTGTATTCCAGATTGCCCCAGTTTGATAAAATCTCAAGTATAACTCTTTTGAAAGCTGTTTTTATATTTGGCTTCTGTAAAACATTTAATACTTTATGATCACTTGTGATAAGCAGTGGAATACAGCTGAAAATCAAGCACACAAACCTTAATTTCAAAAATCTGAGAAGGGAGTCCTGTGTTACTATACGTGAATGAGCCAATGGTGATGTACTCGTCTTCAAGTTTACCCTGCAATAATTATGAAATCTCAGTTATAAAGGAAACTATTCAAAACAAAATTAAGGCTTGCAATAGTCATACCAGCACGTTAAAAGCCTTAGGAGCCTCATCAATACTTCCGGTCAAAGATGCACTTGCCGGTATATGCTCCAAAGTGACGCGTTCTATGATTGCTGGGTGGGCTAATTCTATCTCAATTTTTCCATGTGATCCGCGGAACGACCAGCATTGTCCGGGTTCGACCCAAGGCTACAAAAATAATAAAGTTAGCAATCAAGTAATACATTTTTTGAAATAAAAGACTAGCTACATACCTGGATAACTTTGCGAGGTGTGTAATGATTAACTTTCCAAAGGGGTATTCCAAAAATTGTCACTTGATTTGACTCTGGCTTGGTATAAGAATGAGTATCTGGAGTATCTACTACGAGCCCGCCCACAGCCTCCGACGCGAAATCTGCTAATGAATTTGCACCTGAAAACAGTGTACCTACAATTACATTTTCACTCCATTGATTCTTTAATAATATCGATTGTGCCTTTTACCTAGATTGCTCCGACGATTGTACAAATTTGTCAATTGATTATTCTGAAATGAAAAAAAAACATTTATTCGACAAAAGTAAAAAAAATATGTCAAAAATTTTACCATTTGATACAGTGTCTTTTTAAGATTCCTGGACTCGCTTTTGATTCTAATCAGCTCCTTTCTCAGCGGTGTAATGGCCTCTGATCGCGAGTCATCGCCGATTTCAAGGTACTTGCCAACCGCAGGTTGGTATTTTTTGCAAGCCGGGTGGAAACCGACTTTCTGATCGATGTCGAATTTGCCGTAAGCAAACACGTAGGTTAACAGCAAAACTTAAAAAAAATCAATAAATAAATAGTCGTAAAAGTATATATTGTGCACATGAAATTGTTTAGATGTCATTACTAGCGCCGAGAGTCATGAAAAACATAACTTTCACTATGGGAGTTATAAATTCGATGAACTTGATAATGAACCATCGTGTCTTGATCATCAGCCAAATATCAAAAATCACCAGAGTCTCGAGAACCATCATTGGGTCTGAGAACAACAAATTTTTCGTTCCAGTACCAAAAATCAGAATTTTCATTTTATGAAGTTTTTTCATATACTTACGGTTTTGGTGCTTTTCCTCTACCAATTGCTCCATCGTTTACTGTTTTTTATTCTAAGCTGCTAACTTGCACGGAAATAAACTAAAAACCTATGAGAAAGTTTTTGCGGTTTACGCAAAATTATCAACGACACGATCCCCTTGATGTTGTTATTAACACTGTCTTATTACTTAAACGACTCCCTTTGTACTAAAGTATTTAAAATACCTATACAATATACATATACGAGTTTGTTGTTGAAAATATATAGTTTTTGTGTTTTTTTCGGCTCTGCACGAGACTTGACTCGTTTGAAAAAGCGAGCGACTGTTGTCGGTCTCTCCCACCATTCTCACACATTTACACATCTATGATAACCTCAAAAGAGTATGTCAAAAGTGTAAATATTGGGTTGTTTTGTTAAATTACTAGTAAACATTTTCGTTCGAGGTTTTATATACTGCCAGGTCAAAATAAAAAAAATGTCGTGCTGTAACACTTGTCAATCGAAATTCTCGTTTTTTTCAAAAGAAGTAAGAGTTTTTCCTAAATACTCTATTTCAAGTACTTTGTTGTGGAGACAATCAATTCTTTGGTAATGAATGAAACAATTGTCGTTTATATTTTGTTTGTAGCATGGCTGTCCAGCGTGTGGATTTTCCTACTGCTCCAAGTGCCTTAAGTACGAGCCTGAGGATAAAAAAAGCAAGCAAAAAATTTGTGGCCCTTGCTTTCACAAGTCGAAAATCAAGAAATCAACTCCTATTTCTATAGAAGATCTGCCCACTCCGAACGGACTGGACGAACCCCTGGTTCCCTTCAACCTTGCGACAAAGTTAGTATTCCACTCCATTTATATGAAAATAATAAAATCGAACTACTTTGTAAGCCTACTTGTTGTTTTGTTGTAGAGCTAGAGTTGAAAGTGCTCTGAAGCACCCAATTACGGTTTATTATAACAGATTGGATAAATTGAGATCTGGACTGGATCCAGCTGATCAAGAGATCGTCAACAGATTGAAAAAATTGAAAGACGAGGACAGGCAGGTACCATCTGTAACTGAAGATGAAATCAGGCGTAGATTGGCATTGTTGAGAGATCAAGATCCTAATGTTGTCAACAAACCAGTTAATGCAAGTATCAAACATTTTTTTCAATTTTTTACTTTTATTTAATGATGAATTTTATTTACAGTTGAATGAAATCGACAGCAGAACAGATAAACAAAAAGTTGACGACTTGATTAGTCAGTATCTTCAGGAACTCGAAATTTCAAAAAATGTCTCTGACGAGTCTCAGAACGTTGATAGTGAAATTGAAGCGCGTTTAAAAAGTTTAAAGGAATTCACCGTGAAGCTGCCATTGGTAAATAACATTTATTATTCATACACAATCTATATTTAGTATTATTTTTAATTATATGATATTTTCAGCCTCCCATAGATTTTAGTCAATTCGGCACAAGTAGCAGTGGTGAAGACCGACCAATGGATTGTTCTGAAGACACTCATGATGACTATTCAGGTGACAACCAGTGTTGCATGTGTGATAATAAGAAAAATCTCGTCAAATGCAAGGGTTGCACGGATGATTTGTACTGTATCGGTTGCTTCAATGACAATCACGATGAATTTGAGTTGAAGAAACACAAGACAGTCCCATTCAGACCATAAACAGCAATTTGATCCACACTCTAAGCATATTTTGCCGATTTCACATGCACATGCGAAAAAATCATGTTTTTAAAAGTATTTATATATTTAAATCATGTTGATGATACATATTAGTTGTACAAAATTTTTCAAGTATTTTTTTAATCACGTAATTTAATAATACTTGTTATTAATCATTACACTTTTATACTTAGAAAAAAGGCAAACTTTATCGAAGAGATTATACAGATGTTTTAACAAATTTTTCGTTTTTAAAATATGATTTAATTTTATAGTGATCTAGATGTTATCCATATTTGTAAATGTTGTTTTATTTTTCAAATTATTTATTTTCCAACAGACACCCTGTCATTTTTTCCGATTTACGAATAAAAAATTGTACACTTAAGTTAAACATGATAACATTTTTTTAACAAATCCAGCACAATCTGAACGCTAAAATAAACATAGATATATATATTTGTATATATTTTTAGTCAAATTTATCCTCAATTCCTCCAGTAGTGGACGCAGCAGTGCATGAGACGCGACGATCCAAAGTTTATACTAAACGTCTGCTGCCTCTGCTATGTCGTCAATTAAAAGGATCCCGTCGGTGTGAAAAAAGATATATAATGTATTTAGTTTTGCAAGTATGTTTAATCCAGACACTGTTGGTTATTTATAATCTCCTAGTTTTGATTTCTTTGATGCTTCTGAACCGATTTGAACTAGGGTTTGTATTGATAGTTTGATTTGCCTTGTTCATAGTAATTGTTTGTTTTTATTTTATTTGTACAATTGATTATTTTCAATAATACACTTTTGTTTTCAAATTATCGAACGATAAATACTTATTAAGTTTTGGACAAAGAGAAAGAATTCCCGATGTTTTCAAAACAAAACATAACCTCGACGTTGCATTTGATTACACACACCTACAGGTACAGTTACAGTGCAGCTTATTAAATAAACTGGAAAAAGTTATGCTGTAGTCGAAATGTATCCGGAAAACCACAAAACGATCTTCGTGCTCGATCACACGCCCTACTTTAGCATCTCGACCGAAAGTCCCCTGGACTTTGACTTTTTGAAAACTCGGGGCCATGGGAATCAAATTATGCTGCCTCCGATCAGCAAATCGCTATGGACCACGAGTATAGAAACCTCCATGGAGTACTGCAGGATCGTGTGGGATCTTTTTCCGTCCGGCAAATTGGTAAGGAACACGCACGTTTGCCACCTAGAGTTAGTGAACAATTTGCTGGATTTTTCCCAATTGTTACAGATCAGATTCGTCGTGAGTGATCATTCGGCTCGTATCCTGAATACGTGGAGTCCCTCACAACAAAATTTAACTCATGTAAGTACTTGACCCAATTATTAACATCCAGTGTCCAATTGTTGGTTGGTAAACAATAACACCAATGCATTTCTCAGTTGATGAATGCAATGGCAATAATCGGAGTACCGCACAGGGTGCATCAGCAAAGCACCGACTTCTCTGTGGTACATGGCTTGAGGGTAGCCATCGAAGCTCTCTCGGAGATTTCAGAGACCCAACAAGAGAAAAGGATGGCAGGGCCAGAGGCTGCTAGTAAATTAATGAACAGAGGACGTGTGATTTGTATCACTAGTGCAAGGGACGATGCGAGCTTGAAAAGCTTGAAGAATATATTTTTGAGCCAATTGACGGCTCAAAATAAACAGGCTGCCTCGTCTGACACGTGGGTCCAAGAATCATATTTTTAATTAATTGTACATGTACACGGTAACCAAACGAGTCATGCTTGCAGGTTGATTCCAGTTCATCACTGCCACCTTGTTATATTGAACATATACCCTTGTAACATAAACTCTGAAGTAACAAATCAAACTTTACAGGAGGTAAAAAGTACTCAGTTGCATTTATTTATCTTTCAAAAAATTTGAAGAGGTGTATTAAGCAATTATTCTTTGCAGGTCTCTTCCGTTTTATCGATGGAAGTGCACTCTCTCAAAGCTACGATCCTGCACTCGAAACTCTCCCACCTGATCCTTGAGCACTACGATCTAGCCAGTACAACCGTCACTGGTATCCCGATGAAGGAAGAACAGAACGCCAGTTCTTCCGCCAATTACGACGTGGAGATATTCCACTCGTCGGATGCCCATCTGGCAATTCTCAAGGGTAACGCCCAAGACTCGGCGCTGGTGAAAACGTTCCGGCGCTTCGAGGAGGGCATGGAGTACGAGACCGTAACTCTGAAATGGTGCACACCCAGGGGCTGCAGCGCTTCCGAAATGCAACTGTGCAACGCCATGCACCGCATCACCCCCGTCGATGTCAACAGTCGGCCGTCCTCGTGTTTGATTAATTTCCTACTCAACGGCAGGTCGGTCATGCTCGAAATGGCCAGGAAGAGCGGCAACAAGGCCATATCCCACCTGCTGGCATCTCACGGTGGTGAGATTTTCATTCACACGCTGTCGACCACTAGAAGCGTGCTCGAAGATCCGCCCTCTGTGAGCGAAGGGTGCGGCGGCAGAGTTACCGATTACCGCATCACGGTGAGCGTCACTTTTTTTCAAACGATTCTAGTTCAAATGATTCTTACTAAAATATCCCAACTTTTTACAGGATTTTGGAGCTTTTATGCGAAGTAACTTGTTAGTGCCCGTGAAACGGAGTCCTGGTGACACGTCCGAAGGGCCCGCTGAAAAAATGAGGTTGCGCCTCGAGAGGCATACGAAGTATTGGCCCATCGTGATCTCGAACACCATAATGTACAACCTAAGATCGGTAACTGCTTGAATGATGTTTTCTTAAAAAAAAAAAAAAAAAAAAAATTCAATTTTTCATCGGTTAAATTCATCCTACAGATAATCGATCCCCTTCCCGACTTGATACTCAAAGAATCGCTGACAAAGGACGAAGTAATGCAGTGCAAACAGATAATCTTCAGTGTTCTCCAGCTCGAAGCCAAACACGAGAACTTGCCCGTTCCGAGTATAGGCGGAGGCAGAGGCGCGAAATCCAACTGCAAGCGCGAGGAACAGTACAAGCTACTGTGGAACGAACTCGAGACTTTTTTGCGCATGCACTCGATAACTTCGATGAATCATCTGGAAGTTTTCAATTGCTTGCTCGAAGTGAGAAACAAGGACGACAAGGACAACAAGGTCGAGCTCGACCAGGCACTCAGAGAACTTGAAGGGTATTTGTTGTTTTTTTTGTATAATTTAACGTTCAAAGGAAACAAAAATTAAATTGAGTATGGGTTATAAAACGAAAAAATATTCGTTGAAGTCTCGGCAAGGAAGAAACGACAACGCGGGCCACGGTGATTCGCGCGACGACGGATTCGCCAATGTCACCTCCGCCCAGCGGCTCAACGACAACGTTAGCCAAGCAGCTTCAAAAATCCAGCCTGTTGGCGACCAAGAGTCTACTGGACATTTGGCTGCACCGCACGGCACCTCGTGATCGGCGTCCGGACTTTCATGGCCGTGCCGGTGGCCTAAAGGCCAAGCTCTACCCGAATCTTAAAGAAAACGGGGGCGGCCAGGCAACTCGCGGTGAACCCGTCGTAGAGGCGTGACTGTGCTGGGGACGACAAAGTATTTTTTTTTTTTTTTTTACTCGTTAGACTTTCTCAACGTGTTTGTACATAAGAGTGTAGATAGGATGCTGAGAGGGGGAAAACCATTACTTTTTATTACTCAACGGCACTTTTGGATTTTTAATCGCGGCTTCGTTGACTCTCTTTTTTATTTATCGACAACGACACAATCAATTTCCCGTTGACAGTTTTTTTTTTTCATCAGATTATATTTGAATGCCTAAGGAGTCAAGAGAGTACTTTTGAAAAAAAGAAACGATTTTGTAAATTTTATAGAACTTTGATACGAGAAGAAATCGTGAATAAACCAAGTTGTCAAGAGAAGTGGATAATCATTGATGCTGCAAATCCTGATATACTTTTAAACAGCACATTATGCGTACAGCCACGCGATAAATCGAGCCATCGGATAAAAAAACCACCCCAAGTGGTACATGGTTCAACGATCAAACAGAAAGGAAAAAAAAAAAGAAAAAGCCATTCGACCCATATTATCTAAGCAGACGCGTGCTTGCTACGGAAGAGAGAGTGAATGACTTCGATGCAATGCATGGTTTGTGTGTGTGTGTAGGTAAATATATAATATACATGTGCATAGTCGAGGGCAAGGGCAAAAGGCGACGAAAGGGAGAAGCTTTCGAAAGCGAAAGTAATAAAATAGACTCCAAAGGGATGGCGTAGGGGGAGGGGGAAGAAGTAAGGGGGAGATGGTGAAAATAGGTGGTCCGCCTGTAAAAGAGCATCGCGAGAGAGAGAAAAAGGAGTGAGGCAACGCGTGTATATATTGTATAACCCGAGAAAAAGGAAAAGAGAGAGAGCGAGAGAGATAAAAGAAAACAAGCACACAAAGTTTCAAGTGAGGAGGAGGAGGAGGAGGAGGAGGTGGTTGTGGGTTTGTCGGTTTTGTATGTGTGTGTGAGTATATAAATACACGACGGGTTAAAGGGCGAAAGGAAGAGTAAAGAGAGAAAGAGAGAGGATGTCGAGTGTGCGTGACGTAACGGTTCATTCATCCCGGAAGCAACGGCTACGCGACGACAACATCCCCTTGATGGCCAATGTACGTAAGTATAGGTATATGTATGTAACTTACACGTGTGCGCGTACGTGTGTTCTGATATCTCTTTCGTTTTTTTTTTCTTTTTTTTTATGTTACGCCGCAATGCTGTTCTCCTTCTGGGACCGTTTTTATTGGGAAATTTTTTTTGTGCTTACGACTCAGGATTGGGGTGAAGATACTTTTAAGGAGCCAATACGTTTTTATGTTTTTTTTTTTTTTTTTTTTTTTTTTAACATAAACGTCGAGTGTATTGAATTAATTATTGTATTTTTTTTCATCCAAGAAAGTATTGTCACAAAAACGAAAAAAATTGAAAATCCGTTGAAAAATCGTTTTCAGAGGTAACATTAAAATTTCAATGATCTTAGGCTTCACTGTTTCCGAGAAGTTAATTATTTATTTACAACATACGCTTATGAGAGAGAAAGAAGTTTTTACTGATTACGATTAGAAAAATAAAACTCTTCTACAACAAATAATTAATTTCTCGGAAATGATGAAGGCTACGGTCATTGAAATTTTAGTTTATTACCCTGGAAACGATTGTTAATTAAAGTTAAAAAAATTTTCACGGGATACCTAAGTTTTTATTACTACAACCGCCTAATGATAAACTAATAGTTATGTAGTATGATAAGAAAAAAGTTCCGAGAAAACTAAAAAGTAGATTAAAGGAATCGCATAAAATACCTGTTACTCACCACTCAAAGATAAATGACTCACCCTGTACATTGCATGAAAAATTGTTGTGTCGATATATTGTTATCGAATACTCGGAACTCATTGATTACCCAAAAGTATGATAGCCTTCGAAAGAAAAAAAAAAAAAAAAAAATGCCATCGATAAAACGAGCAGTATTTTGGTTAAACCGTTATCGAACGACAATTTGAATTCAACAGTGTATTCTATCTCTGCTGAAAGTAACAAAGTCGACGACGAATAAAAAAAAAACAGAGAGGCATCGTTTGTCTATTCGAACGTCAAATTTATTGGAAGTAACAAAAACGAACCAAACGAGAGAACACGGGAAAAATGGATGGAAAAAAAATAAAATAAAAGCGCAGAGCTCAACGCTCGAACTATATACCCCCTAAAAAAAGCGTTCGATTTCAAAGTAATCGTCTACGCGTGCAGCGCAACGAAAAGTGGCGATAGCACTTTTTTTTTATCCTCTGTTCCCCCAATTTTTTGGCTCCCTGTTGGGCGACGCGTATACGAGAAATGTAATTTTACAGTCGATAATCGTTATCCCTCCCTCCCCTCAACCGTTTTGTGTTAACTTGTGGGAGTTCGAACATGCGTTATTAGGATAAGTACCCACTAAGAGTGGTCGATTGGAAACTGGGAATTTTTTCTTCAATTGAGTAACCATTGTGGATTTTATGGTGTTTTTCCATTACTTAGTCGGCAATTTCGTCAGGGGGTTGCCATCCCCCCCCACCTCGTTTTAATAAGATGGTTCTAGAACACTGTTTAAACACGTAATGGAAGCGTTTCTACACATAATAATTTTCTTGTCGAGTTCGCAACTGAAAAAAATAGGAAAATTGTAGCTGATGAGTTGAAACGTGTAATAAGAAATTTACTTCTCTTTTTTATTTTTGTACTATGAAGTAATAGGCCTGCCATCGATCAATTTGATATCTGACCATCAAAACACCAATCACTCGACCCCATATCGAATTTACACCCTTCAATAAAAAATAAAGAATTATGTACTCCGCTCAGTTTTCACAGCCTAGAAAGATAATTAAAAAAGGGGGGTGGGGCGAGAACCCTCGCCCAACTGAACCTAAAAAAGTCCGATAAACCCCCGTTCCCCTTCCTACAAAATTTGATAACATCCGCCTGCGAATTGAAAAAAAAAAAATTCCACTCTCAAAGTATACCCAGCCAGACTAACGAGGCGAGCTTTTGCAGAGGAGCAGCATCAGCCAGGCGGGGCAAGAGAAAACGCCCCGCACGTGCAGCCATACGTATATACGCACACAGCGAGAGAAGACTCCCCCACCGCCATTGATAATGCATGAGAGAGGGGGAAGGTATCGATCCTAACCTCCCCTTTTCGAGTGTATAATATGTGCCCCGCACCGGTTATGGCGCCCCTGCTGGGGTCGCATGGCGTCACTGACGCCCCTGTTTTCTCTCGTTTACTCGTTCCTCCAAACTTCCTTGCACTCTCGTGATGAGTGTCCGGTGTTTTTTTTTCTCTATTGTGATAAGGTTTTTTTATTTTCTGGGATTCACAATTTTGAGGAAAAACACCGGGGGAGTGGATTTATTTTCAGAAAAGGGGAGGCACCAGTCGGAGAGGAGGTTATATAAGGTAGTGGGGGTCTCTGGCCGAGTATTGATTGGAGGGGCTCTCTCGGCGTTTTATTATTATATCTTCTTTTTTTTTTGTGTGTGTTTGCGCCTCGCGCCCTCTCCCCCTGCAGTGTCTCGTTTCGATGCCTCGTTAACTCAAAATGAGCTATCGCAGATTTTTTTTTTTTTTTTTTTTTGCTGGGAGTTCGATTTTTTCTTGATATCTTTCGAATGTAATTTTTATGTATAAGTATACTGGCAAAATTTGCTTTGTTTGATTCGACAGGTATATTTATAATTGTGATGGAAACTACAGGAGGAAATTCCCTTTTCCCTCGTTTGAAAGTTAATATCATCGCGCGTTCGAAAAAAAAACTTCGTGATCTCATTTCAAAGCTCGAATGATAAAAGCACAATTAACAAGAAAAAAATAAAGTATGAATATCGTGCGTAAAAAAAAAAAATTATTGTAATTCTCGTGGCAGCTGCAGAGAAATAAAAAGTGCCCGCATAATATACTCAATAGCACGAAAAAAAGCGCTCACAGCTGCTGCTGTACTTACATTCCAAAGCCCCGTGTTTTCGACTCTTCGTTTCGAGGCCTTGTATACACAATACGCGTGTGTGTGCAGCGATAAAGATATTTTCGTGCGCTGTCTCCGTTTGTGATATTGATACTTGAACTTCTTTTGGTATTCAATATTCATTTCGTAAAAGTTCAATGATTTGTTGAATCAGTAGAGTTAGGATTATTTTTTCTTTTTTCGATGAAAATAAGGACCCAAAAAAAAAAAACAAACGATTGACAACTGTGACACATGCGATTCCTTATTTTTATTGAGCGCGCGTTGAACATATGTCGCGGGCGTGAGTTATCGTTTCATCGAATTACCGATTTTTCGTGTTACAATTGAGACTTTTGGCTGATTCGAGAAAAAAAGGTGCAAGAATTAAACGAGAATTTTACCCGCACGTACGGTACATTTAATGGATTTTTCCACGTTAACTAAGATCATTAGTGTATTTGGAGAAGCTTAATTACTTTGTTGTCGACAAATTACGTTAACGATGAAACTATTAACTTGAGTATATTCATGTATTTTTCTGGGATGTAATCGATGTGGATGAAATTTCAAAAAGCTGTCGTGAAAGTAAGTAACGTAATAGCACGACGTGAATGGTCAAAAATTTTTCTCAACGATTTTTCTGTAACTTGCGTTGTTTTATTACATAATGTTTTTCATTTGAAAAAATATGTTCACTAGTTTTTTGTTTGTTTCATGACTTTGACTAACGATACCAATCTAATCAAGTTTCAGCGTCGTAGAATCAACTAATGACCAAATCTATTGAAATTTAATTACTGAAACATCATTTTTCGTTAAAAGTGTAATGCGTATGTAAATGTGTTGAAAAGAATTTATTTTCAGTTACTACTCTGGTTACAACACACTGGTTGGCAAATTTTTTTTCCAACAAAAATAATGCGTTACACTTTTGATGGAAAAACAATTTGGAAACATAAAAAGAGTCAACGTATTTAAATGTTACATTTGACTGCAGACATGTTGCTAAAAAATTTGGTATTAAATTTTTCATATTAAGATTTCATTAATTTTAAAGGGCCAAAGATGACGTGACGCACAAAAAGAAAGGTCGATTTTCAGCGATATGGGGGGTCAGTAGTATTTCTCATTTTGCTTTAATGGCATCTCCTGCTTTAAGGTCTCTTTGCGCAAACGATGACATTACTGTACGTATATAATATATACTTGCGAGTTTGTTGAAACAGCTGAATTTTATTTCCAGAAAAGTAGGTCGATATTTTTCTTCTTTCTTTCCTACCTCTTCCTTGAGATTCTTTTGAGTTCAAAGGACTACCTCTTTACTTTCGATTTTACTGTTATACATACATTGACGACGATTGACTCTGTTGTGGTCGAGGTTCCTGGGTTTTGTTTTGTTTTTTCCCTCGGCAGACTTTCCTTTTCACTTATCAATTTATCGAGTACATATTTTTAGCCAAGAACAACAGGGTTCTTGTTTTCGCTCGTTTAGGCACATGTAAAGTGATCGAGAAATAAAGTGTAATTTAAAAAAAAAATAAGTTTAGCCCT